TGAGGCGAGGCGCGCCCGGCCATCAGCTGCTGGTGAGTGAAGCGCGCTTAGAGGCTCAGGCTTAAATGGTTCCAGTACAGCTGGAGAAATATCGCTGCCATTGCGAGGCACTTGAGACATCATTTGGATGCTCACCAATGTGCCTGGAATAAAAAAGGTAAGTCCAGAGTCGAAGTTTTATGAAGAACCACTAGAACGATCCAGAGAACAAGGCCAGCCTTTCAAAAAGAGCTTAGCTTGTTTGGCCTGCTGGAACAAAGACTAAAAGAGGAAATGATTGCTTCATAAATAAATCAGTGGAGTAGACGTCAGAATGCAAAAGGAACTGCTTGAAGGACACAGCTGGTATGAGAACAAATGGACAGAAAACGTCAGTAAGCTGTTTGTTAGGGAAAGGTTACTACCCATTCAAAGAGTTGCAGTGAGAATAGTGACTGAATCTGGTCTTGCTTTCCTGTTGCACATTCATCAATATAAAACGGTGGAAAGTGTGCGTCAGCCTTATTGTAGTAGGAACTTAGTACTCAAAAAGTAATTAATAATTTAATAAAGCTGATGTGGTTCATTACCTGACCATACGAACGCTAATTGCTTATTGAAAAGTTAGATAACATTGAATAAGTAACCCCAAATATTTAAAGTTAATACAGCTGCACTATAGGTTCACAGAATGACAGAATAATTGAGGTTGAAAGGGACCTCTAGGGTCTGCAGGCCAACCTCCTGCTCAAAGCGGGGCTAGCCATGAGCACAGACCAGATATCCAGGCTTTATCCGGTCTTGAAAACCTCTGGGGATGGAGGCAGCACAACTTTCCTGGGCAACTCGCTCCACTGCCTCACTGCTCTCACAGGGAGGCAGTTTTTCCCTTAGAACCAGTCTGTGCCTTTCTTGTTCCAACTTATGCCCGTTGTCCCTCATCTTCCTGCTATGCCCCACTACGAGGAGCCTGGCTGCATCTTTTTCATTACCACAGATACTGGGGGGAAAACTGCTATTAGAGCCCCACAAAGCCTTCTCTTCTCCAGGTTGAACAAGCTGTTTCCTCAGCCTCTCCAGCCCTCTGAGCCTCTTGGTGGCCCTCTGCTGAAGGTTTATCCCTCTTCCCCAGGTTGTCCATGTCTTTCAGGTACTGAAAAGCCCAAAACAGGATGCGGCTATGCTCCTGTTAATACAGCCCAGGCTGCTGTTGGCCTGCTGCTGTCAGCCCTTGCTCAGCTCACTGTCTGCCAGGACCCCCAGGTCTTGTAGCAAGGCTCATTCCCAGCTTGCTGGTCCCCAGCCTGCATCATTGCAAGCATCATTCTTTCCCACGTACAGGACTTTGCGATTGTCCTGATGGAATTTCATAAGGTCTCTCTCAGCCCATTCCTCCTGCTTGTCTCTGAATGGCAGCCCAGATGCAAAGCATATCAAGGGGTCCCCCTGTTTGGGGTCAGCTGCAAAGTTGATAAGCAAACTATCACCTTTGCCACCTCTGGGTCATTGATAAAGTTAAACAAGACCAATATAACACCCCATTACTTTGGTAGTACAGTTAACTTGTGTCTTGCAGTAGGCAGAATCTGAATATGCTTTATTCTGTTCTGGAATAATGAAACTGAATGTTGCTGAGGTTACTGTATCCCAGCAATGTAGTACTACTAATTGTAGTACTTTTTATTCAGTTTTTCCAGTCTTGTTCCATAATCCTTACATATTTATATAAATAAAAAACATTAAGAGCAAGATCCCTCTTTTATAAATCACATGTTCTGATTAGTGATAATTATCAATACTAGTTACTGAGTGTACTAAGTAGAAACATGACATAAGTGGGAATGAAACAGTGCTGCCCTAAGTTCTCATTGCATACCACTATGCTTCTTGTATCCAGTATTGCCACTGCCTGAAGTCTTGGTGAAATTAGTTATTTTTTTCTTATATAGTGCATGAATATGATACTAAGTACCATACTTACTTATTATCACTATATATGACCTAAGCCACTCAAAAGTGAACACTGGAACACCTGAAGCATACGTTTAAGTGGACCTCAAGCAGTTTTACCTTGTGTGCCAATGTCATTCGTATGTTCATAAAGGACATAATAAGATGCAACCATATGCAAGCATTCACAGGAATCAATGAGCGTTAAGCACAAACATTTTCCTAGAAGCATAAAAACAAGCATTAAAATTTAGCAATTACTTCTGAAGTCATTATTTATAAACACACACACATATATATATGATATATGATTAAAATAATATTTTCTTCATCAATTAAATGGAAGCATTACTTTAATGAAAATACAAGTTCGTGGGCTGAGTGTCTGCTGTAATTTACTTGAAGTGTGGGCTGAAAGATTAAATTAAACTTATTATTACAAGTTTTAATTAAATCAAAGGTGCTTATCCAATAATAAAAATACAGTAGTGTCTGATGAGGGATGACTAAAATAGGAAGTGGCATAAATAAAAAATCAAGACAAGAAAAGAATGTCAGTGGAACACTGACACTTTCTAACTTTGTAGTTATCATTTACACTTGTGAAAAGATAGTGTTGATAGTCCAAAATTAAAGGTAAAAGCAGAAAAGAAGCTCTTGTTCCTGAAGCAGAAAGGAAGAAAAGCTAGTTTTGGCAGGTTTGGTTTGCATGAATACATCATGTATAATATCTATACCATGTGTTACTGTGTTAGGAGTTGTGTGGGAAAAGTAGACCACAGAGAGCAGACAGGTAACAGAGCCTGATGGTTAGAAATCTCATATATACAGATAGATTCTGCTTTGACTTATATGTGTGGCACAGGGTTCAAAGTATGAGTCGTATTTCCTTGGTCCAACTGTTTATATAATATGTGAAGCAGCAGTGAAACACTCATTTTTCCTGGAACAATTGCAGATTTGCACTAGTGTCACTGAAAATGGAGTAAGTAACCAAGCTGTGCAGAAAGGGTCACAAAATATTTTGATTGGCTCACACTAATTCAGTAGGAACAGCAGGTAAGTCGCAGGCATTATACATATGTTGATGGATAAACTATTAGATACATAGCTGTGAGGAGACTATTGTCGTTATTTAAAGATGTAGACGCTAATCAGGCCTAAGTGACCTACTGCAGTGACATCTGAGGTAGTGACCACAAAAGCAGTCCTAGAGCTGACTCATTTCCATCTCCAATAACCAAAAAAAAAGCCTTCCCTATTATTATGAGACTAGCACTACACTATCAAAGCTTATTTCTTCTACAAACGATCTTACATGACAGGTTTGGGGCATGTATCATTCATAGGGCTGTTGTTTGTTTAAAATAAATACATGCTTTTAGTTTGAGTAGCCCATCATCTTGCACTGCAAATTACCTTGCTTGAAAAAAATCACATAGCCACAAAGGACATCTGTACATCAAGAAATATCTTTACCTCAGGATGTTTAAAATATATGTATGTGTATTTAAAATAAACCATTTTACATTCTTTAAAAATTTATATTATTCATATTGAATACTATACAACTTTATTCACTGTTAATATCAGTAATATGAAACATATCTGGAAATATAGACATTTAAGCTATTAAAACAAGAGCTTTCAATAGTATATGTATGAATACATGTTTAAATTACATCAATAATATCCACTTAGGCTTTACAATATTTATAGCACTTCCTCTAAGAGACTAGAAACTTAATATATTTTATTAATAGCCTGAAAGATAAAAGATAAATCAGCTGAATTGCATAATTCAGTGTCTGCCGTAGGTACTATAGCTCTTTCCCCGAAAGAGGAGACACTATAATACCTGCCTACTGCATAAGCCAAAAGTCATTCCTAGCCTAACTCCAGCGACTGCAGTGAAGCTGAATAATTTTAAAATGATGAGATCAACTCCAGTTCTGGTACAGGGTTAAAAAAAAAGAAAATTATCAGTGAACTACACCCATCAATTTTGTGTCACCTGAAGTAGCAATCTTCAGGACACATACAGGATGATATAATTACAAAACAAATGCAAGAGGCATTTAGAAGGCAGAAATCAAAGATCAGTGGTTTTTTTTGTTTTGAGATGAAGTGAATATTTGCTTCACTATACAGACTTAATGAATTCAATTTTAAGCTACCAGCATAAAAATGTGTTCAAAGCAAATGTATGTTCTGAAATCTTATCTAATAAAATATGCTACGATAAATTAAGATTCTATTATTAGTTTTCACATGCTTTTCTTAACTGGTACCTGTCTTTTCTAACATGTGGCATCAAACTGTTCTAGAGTGAAGAAATGTATTTTTTTTTAATTCAGAAAAAGTGATTTAATATAGACAAATATTGTCTACAGATTAGGAAATCATGACTTAATATCATCAACATAGATTAAGCTGAGCAACCTTCAGCTGTGTTCTGAATTAGAAGACACTGATTTTCCTGTGACATTCCTGTGGCCATTTTGGAGGGCACAGAACATCTTGTAGGAGTGGGGCTATAAGCTGAGCTTTATTTACAACATAGCTGTAAATAGCCATGCAGTATTAAGGTCCTAACCCTTCAGAGGGTAATCAGTGGGATTGCTCACGTCTGTTATTACTGAAGAGGTACATATCTATTTGGAGGCCTGGAATTTCACTGTGTATTTCTTAAAAAGCAGAATTAGAGTGTCATGATTATGGAGTTTACTACCCATATTCCATTTAGCTCCCACTGAGATGGCCTTTTAGTTTGATTATTTGCAGTTTCAGATGTTTAAATTAATTTATTTCTTGAGCAAGATGGCATGCTTAGAATTGATCGCTGCTGGAAGCACTGGCCTGGGTACAGGCTGTAGTCCAGACCTAAAGTTGGATCAGACCAGTGATCCATTTAGAGCCAAAGCAAGAAAATGTTCCAGAGTTTTTCCTGACACTACTATTCCCAGGAAAAGGGCTACAGGTTGAAAGAGGAGCATCCAGCAGAGAAGTGATGCAGCCGAAAGCAAATAGGCTAGCAGAGTAAAGAAATACAGGACATTTTAATGCCTTATCTCCAACAGTGATATACACTGCTGTTTTAGAAAAGGTTTTAAAAAGCCCAGCCAGAGACAATCATGGAATCTTCTGCCCATAAAGGACATTTCCTCTAAACTCCTGCCACCTCACAACTGAAGTCTTATGACAGGGTAGACAGCCTTTGAGTTATTTGTTTTCCTCCTGATGTAATTGGTATTTTGAAGACACCAGTTTTTTCTTGAATCTTTGAGGTTTTCTACCTGCCTGGGTAATAACATTTCTTTAAAGATTTATGAAGTTCTCCCAAAATAAAGCTTCCTGAGCTTTAAACTTGCAGGAGACACTTTATATCATTGATAATGCAGGGTTATTGGATTACTGACAGTGTTTATCCTTTTTTGAAAAAAGCTCTCCTCTGCTATTTTGAGCTTCTTTTGATGAAAAATTTAAATATATTTAGAAAGCCATACTTCTGACACCTTTGACTTTGACTCCTTTTGATCACAGAGGTTACACTCCATATAAGAGACTTCTCTTCAAATATCGGATTTCAGAATACAAATACACTCCCTGGACAAAGTGGGGTGTTCTCCCCCCCCCCTTATGATAAGGGCTGAATTTGAGTCAAAACTTTCTGAATTTGGGGGGCAACCACACCTTCATTTTAGTAGTTATCATCTCAGGATACCAGGGCACAGCAAGGGCCAGCTGCTCTCAAAGAGAAAGCAGGCAGGAGATGAGCTCCATAACCCAGCCAACAGGGCAGGGCTGGTCCCACCGTACCTGAGCAAGGTGAGCAGGGCAGGCCTAGGGCAGCAGCCACCAACAGCCAAGAGCCCAGGCTGCCAGGCACATCTGTGGTGATGAGACAGGTCTAGGGTCAAGCTAGGAACTTGAGCAAGGATCAGGTCTAGAGACAGCAGCCAGCTCAGTGGTCATCAGACAGGTCCAAGGTTAAACTAGGAAGTTTGTCTGCATATCAAGGTCCACAGCCAAGCACCAGCACACCTACACTGTAACACAAGCAGGGACTAATGGTCCCATTTGAGCTTAAATGAATCCCCAGGTGGTGGGGGAAGGGGGGGGCTCAGGTACGGGCTGTTCAGGACCATTAAGGCACCCAGAACCCTGACTCAGCTTATCAGCTGTAGCTACTTAATGAGAAACTCAGTTATACAGGGGTCTACTTGCATGGGAGACTGCTTGGAGAAGGTAGGCATCTATTTTATTACAATGAACTTTCTCTTTAATGTATCTTAATTTAGAGGCTTTAAACATCTTATAACCATTGCTGACCTATCTCCCTAAACCAAGATTATGTCAGTTCTGACTTTCTTTAAGGTCTTATACAATAGTTGCACCAATTGTATTTATCAGATATCTAAACAGAAATTGAGCAAACTTTCAAGAGTCTTCTGTAAATAAAATGACTTACAATAAGCACCTCACCACCACAACGTTTCCCTAATTCTCTTGTTAGCAGAGCATCCATCTAATACCCAAGCCTGCTCTTCCTAGTTCTCTCAGATCTTAATACACAGGACCTGACCCCTTCCTAGATAAATATGGCAATATTTTTCCTCAGCCTGAAGCATCTGTTTTTAAGAGAGCTCTGGAAAGTTCTTTAGTCTTAATAGGGACGTGCTATAACTTGATATTAAACAGATATAACAAATGATACTAGTTCACTTCTGTTAGGTGCTGAGAGTCTTTCACATTCCATTTCAATTAACAGAGAGCTGATGAATACAGTACCCAAAAAGTAGGGTGGTATAACATATTTTAGCCTGTTGCAGTCCATTACAGATTTTAGAGCAGATTAAATGAATGTTCTTGAGGGGGGGAATTCCTAGGTCAAGGCCACATTCCTTAGATCTCTAAAAGATGTCTTCATGTCAATTTTACTTTAGTTTACTGCTTTCAGAGCAAGTGATTGGTTGAGATTCTGGAGTTTTGGGGGGAATTTTTGTTAGGAAGAGAAACTGATGGTGGAGTCAGGATTACCATTGCACTTCTTTTTACTGGAAAACTGTGTAAAAATATTTTTTATGCCTGGGACATTGTACGACACAAAAAGCAGGAGTAATTTCTTGCTAGGCAGTCCAGTTTGATGCTTTTTACCTTCTTTTCCCCCCCCCCTTCTTTTTTTCCAGGATCATGTTACAAGACAGTCCTTGGCTTTTTGGCATGCTTAGCCATGAACATCACTTGTGCTGGCAGTATTTTTTTTCAGGTGAGTATTCCATAAAAACATCCCATTTTCCACATTTATCCTGACTGAAGGGTAACGGTTATATTCACAAACTTCAGCAAGATTCCAGGGGCTCAGCATCACGCTGCACGTAGTCTTACACGTTCTATTTCTTAACAGGTGAGCAAATGGCCAGCTGTGGGAAGACATGCTGTGTGTTAGGGTTTTCTGAGGCAGTCTTCTGTGAAGAAGAAACCAATATGCTGATAGACATAGCTAAGACCTTGCTTTCTGTTTTGGTCTCCCAGATTGAGTTTTTGAGACAAAGCTGCTCCCTGGGAAGCAAATGCTGGCATTGGACTATACGTTATAAGAAATAACACTGCTTGTGTGCTGCTGTGATCATCTGTGTCACAGGACTGTTATTAAATGTAAACACAGATTCTCCTCCTCAGACTATGAACATCTGTTGCTTGTGACAAAGGGGAGCCAAAATATAAACAGTTGTAAATTACAGAGTGAACTGCTGTAAAAGACTCTGCTAAGGGTTGAACTACAGTAAAAGGAACCTAAATGTTTCAGAATTGAAATTTGAACATTCTTCCTTCCTATAACAATAAAATGTAAAAGGTGCTTCATTTTGTTAGTTCTTTAAAATAATGCATTTAAAATATTTAATGTGAGCAAAATAATAGGCTTTCCTAATGGGACTGCACCCCACCATCCATGCAGGGAAGAGCTGCTGGAGGCACAGCTCTCAGCACAAGCTCAGCTCCGTCAGGACCACGGCCACGTCGCTCTTCTGGACACCATCCGCTGGGCTTGACAGCGGTAAGTCAAATTGTCATCATTAAGCCATCTTTAAATGGGACCAGCCAACTCCTTCATGAAATGACAGGCGAGTACTTCAGCCTTCGCGCTGCAGCGGCCGGGTGAGGAAGTGCCGAAGAGCGGCTTCTGCCGACGCCGCGGCCGCTGCAGGTGCTGCGCCCTGCGCGGCCTATATCAGTACAAACTTGGAAACTTAGTTCTCCATACCTTTTCTTTGAAAAATTATGATTTACCAGACCCAGTCAATAACAAAAATAAAAGCTATTAGGGAGATGTGGTCAATTTTTCATGCATTTATACAGTATTTTAGGATATATTCGTATATTATTTAAAGAACTTAATCGTGTTTCAGAAAACATCTTTCGTAATGCTACAAAGTTCACTACTTTGAGAATATGACCACCAGCTCACACTGCAACTAATAAATACAGGCAGCTAGAAGACGATGGCCATTAAAAAGTTTTCAAATGCTGTTAGTCTGCTGTTAACTTAGTTTCTTCCTTATTTATTCAGACCTTTGCTGAGTCACCCCTGTGAAAATGCATCTGTTAATTCTAAGCCAACAACAAAGGCACTCCCTAAATTGGCATTGAGGGATCACTGCAGGGGAACGCTCTGCTTTCTGACAAGGCAACCTCAACACGATTCAGTCTGGCGGGAACGGACCAGTCACACCTCCTGGACTTCACCATACCGGCACATGTTTCACTGGCAAGGCAAAGGCGGCTAAGATTACAATAATATAACAAAACCATGAGCCCAGCTGAAATTTTACTTATTTAAAATAGAGATACTGTTTAGAAGATATGTCAGCCCGAGAAAGTGATTTCAAGGCAGAGAGATCTGCATTAGGACAGAAATGGGACACCAGCGCCTAAGGTCATGATTATCATCATCTGTTACTGATGAAGAAGTCACTCACATGAAGAATGCTTTATAAGGAAAAAAGAGAGAGAGAGATGGACGCTCCTTGCGTTATTTCGTTATTAAAATACATTTTTCTATTATAGCCTTTACTAAATTACCCGCTTTCAGTTCTGTAAAAGGAAGTAATCAAAGGGAATAATGAGAGCCAAAATGGAATTTTGGCCTAAAAAATCCTTATTTAACCATTATGTTATATTGGTATGTATTAGTTTTTTCTCGGTAAGGCAGGAGGGTTTTCAACACATCAGTGTTTGCTCTCGTTCCAAGGCTCTCTCTCTCGTTTCTTATAAAGCACCACCAAGTGCGGCTGAAGCACGACTTGCCGGGGATGCTTCGCCGGGGAACTAGCACAGGCGAAGCATCCCCGCAGCAAGTGGCAGCGAGTTAGTACCCAGCACAATGAAACATGACGGTTGTACAAGTCGTGCTTCAGCCGCACTTGGTGGTGCTTTATAAGAAACGAGAGAGAGAGCCTTGGAACGAGAGCAAACACTGATGTGTTGAAAACCCTCCTGCCTTACCGAGAAAAAACTAATACATACCAATATAACATAATGGTTAAATAAGGATTTTTTAGGCCAAAATTCCATTTTGGCTCTCATTATTCCCTTTGATTACTTCCTTTTACAGAACTGAAAGCGGGTAATTTAGTAAAGGCTATAATAGAAAAATGTATTTTAATAACGAAATAACGCAAGGAGCGTCCATCTCTCTCTCTCTTTTTTCCTTATAAAGCATTCTTCATGTGAGTGACTTCTTCATCAGTAACAGATGATGATAATCATGACCTTAGGCGCTGGTGTCCCATTTCTGTCCTAATGCAGATCTCTCTGCCTTGAAATCACTTTCTCGGGCTGACATATCTTCTAAACAGTATCTCTATTTTAAATAAGTAAAATTTCAGCTGGGCTCATGGTTTTGTTATATTATTGTAATCTTAGCCGCCTTTGCCTTGCCAGTGAAACATGTGCCGGTATGGTGAAGTCCAGGAGGTGTGACTGGTCCGTTCCCGCCAGACTGAATCGTGTTGAGGTTGCCTTGTCAGAAAGCAGAGCGTTCCCCTGCAGTGATCCCTCAATGCCAATTTAGGGAGTGCCTTTGTTGTTGGCTTAGAATTAACAGATGCATTTTCACAGGAGTGACTCAGCAAAGGTCTGAATAAATAAGGAAGAAACTAAGTTAACAGCAGACTAACAGCATTTGAGAACTTTTTAATGGCCATCGTCTTCTAGCTGCCTGTATTTATTAGTTGCAGTGTGAGCTGGTGGTCATATTCTCAAAGTAGTGAACTTTGTAGCATTACGAAAGATGTTTTCTGAAACACGATTAAGTTCTTTAAATAATATACGAATATATCCTAAAATACTGTATAAATGCATGAAAAATTGACCACATCTCCCTAATAGCTTTTATTTTTGTTATTGACTGGGTCTGGTAAATCATAATTTTTCAAAGAAAAGGTATGGAGAACTAAGTTTCCAAGTTTGTACTGATATATACCAATGCCTTGCTGCCTTTTGCCTTCCAAAAAAAACCAAAAACTCAAACAGTCATACTGACGAACTGTAAAACAGCCTAACGTTATTAGCATTTTCTCTCCAAAACCTATTCTTCACAAAAGAGATTTCATAAGAAGCCAGGCTGGCAGCAATGGAATATGTAGTGAATTGTAAATGAAAACAGATCTGTGTAGTCTTATTTTCAACTCGGTGTGGATTATGCTGTATGAATGATAAAAAGCCCAGTCCTGCAAGCAACTCCATACCTACATCATCTCTCTGAATATTAAAGTGGCACAAAAAGAAGCCTGAACTGATTAAGTTCAGGCTACTGAAAAATACTTTGTGTGTACCATGAAAGGACAGAAAATTATTCCAGAGCAGAAATTACATGTATGACTACTTTGTATAGATAAAAATTATTATAAGGTATAGACTTGAATGAATGCTTTGTGTATTTCTTCAGGCTAGTATAATGTGGTCATAGTTATGTTGGAAGTGTAGACTGTCTACAACTGCCCTCATTTTACTAGGCTGAAGAAATAATCAATAAGCCTGTAGAGTAGGTAACTGCTCATAGGCTGAGTTGTTCAACTAACAGCAAAAGAAAGGAAGGGATGTGAGGAAATCACAAGAGTTTTGGGTTTGGAAGATAAAGGCTCTTTGCTTTTAAAGATGGTACCTTCAGGGCTGTACTATTTAGGCTTAGACTGCAGTAGTTGTAAGGCCTTGTAGCTAGATTTTTAGTTTGATATCTCCCTCCCCTTTTCTCCCCCCCCCCCCCAAAAGGAACAAAGTAACTTTTTTGATTTGAGTGATCTTATGATTGTAGTTTTTGGTCTGGTGATGTTTCCCTACCTCTGAGATCTGATTTTGGTGTTTTATGCTTTTGATGTTTGTCTCTCCCTTCCTTTTGCAAAACAACATTCAAAACAATCAAAACTAAGAAGCAGCAGATTATGATCTGTATTTGTGTGACAAGAATATTGGTAGGGATGGGGGGGGGGGAAGGGCTGAAAACTGTAGCTTGTTCTTTTATTATTATTTTTTCGTCAAAACATGTTTATCTCCCAGCAGATTCTGGAGAGCTTCTTTAGATACTACGAACTCCTGAGCTCTGAGAGGCGATCTCAGAACGCTAGCATTACTAGCATAAATATATGTGCTTATCCCTAGCTGATACAGGGTAGAATAAGTTGGTCTTCTGCTGTAGAGTGTGATTTCTTACCTTCCAGACACTGAGTGCTTCTTGCCTCCAGTGATGCTTGGTTGCCTTCTCAGCTGCTTGAAATGACATTTGCTTTTGTGACTCCAGCAAGCACGTTTTCTGCCTCACTGGACTCTTTGAATTGCTTTTAATTATTGTTTGTCTTCTGGCTGATACTGCATTTTAAAGGGAGAATTTCTCCTGATAATAACACTGCTTAAGCAGTTTTCTGTTTTTTTTCTTTTAGAAATACTTGTTTAAAAACATACCTGTCATGTGGAGCTACTGTCCTTATTACTTTCATCTTCCTGCATGATGTATGAATCTTATTGACAGTCTTAAGCCTTGGTAATGGGTAGCACTACTTCTAATCATTTTTCAGTTGCAGCCTGGTTTGCAGTTGGAGAAACTGAAACATAGTAAGTTTTGAAGAGCTATAAGGCAAATTGGTGGTAGGCTGAAAATCCTGACTTGCGATTTTGTAGCTCTATTTTCAGATTCCTGAACGTCCATTACATACACTTTTTTTTTTTTTTTTCTTCAGTTGTGAAGAGGCTGTCGGTGATTGTTAAACTGCAGCTTTCAGGGCCTCTCCCCTCTGCAGGGAGAAAAGGCGTAAGAAGGGAGTTCTGTAAACCAATTATTATATTCCTTTCTTCATGTAGTTTCCTTAACTATTAAGGAAACACTGAAGGGGTGCTGTAAAATGGGCTGAGTAGAACAATTGAGAGAACATTCTTCAGGAACATAACATGATATGCAGGGGTTGGTGTGGATACGCTAGACAGGGCTGAAAGGAGAGAGAGAAAAAGAAGGCTAAAATATTAATAGCAGAGTTCATGGAGAAAGGTGGAAGAGTAATGATGTGGAAACAATAAGGGATGAGGAGAACAAGTCTCAGAAATAGGCTGAAGGGAAATCAAAGGAGTAATATAAAAAAACCAAAACAAAACTGAAGGGGGCCACAGTAGTAGATAAGAAAATGTTTGTGTGGATTGTATTTTGCAGGGAATGTGACTAGTTATTAGAGATAAGTATGCAGATGTATGATAGGCATCTATTAAAGTGAAAAGTGAAAAAAGCATATAAATGCATATGTCTGGTCTGCACATGCTTTGGTTTATATGGAATTGGTGATTTTCCTTTGACTCCAGCACAGTACATTGAGCACGTTATTTTCTTGTCATCAAGGTAAACTTGCCATTCACAAGCACCACAGCCTGGCCACCTTCATATTTTAGGGACTGTTTCTGTTATTTTAATAGAATGATGGAATAAGTTAGGGTGGAAGGGGCTGCTGGTCACGCAGTCCAGCTTGCTGCTCAAAGCACGACCAACTTCAAAGGTAGATCATGCCACTCAGGGCCTTATCTGTGTGAGCAACCTGTTCCCCTGCTTCACTGCTCTTACTGTGAACACTTCCTTTCATCGTCTTGGAGTTTCTCTTGTTACTGCCTCTAGTCCTTGC